ACTCTCCACTCCTTCTCTTGGGCTTACCCTTCCCTCTATAATGTCTCTCATCCATTGTTCATCTTTTATCTGATCTAGTACCATCTGTACGCTTTGGTCAACTCGAATCATTTCTAGAACAAGAAGGTGCATAAAGAAAATAGTGCTTGTGAATTAAGTGCTACCTTAAGATATCTTGGCAAGCATGGCACTTTGTGGCAACCTTTGGGGACTTCCGTGTTGTGAAGAAGCTTGTCACTACTTGCTGGAACTGCCTGTAAAGTGGCTGCTGATGGCCATTTCCAAGTTCCCCACCCGCACCTCGCTGGTGTCTGCTGCCAGGGAGAAGCACGCACCCAGGGTGGATGGTGTGGGGGGGCCAGGGGCCCTGGGCCAGGACAGGTGAGGAGGCTGGTGGCTGTGCTTACTTGCAGGAAGCCGGGATGGGGCCGGGATGGGGCTCCTGCCTGAGGCGGGGCCACGGAGCCCAGCTGCTGTTGGCAGGGGCTGCCGGGAACAGCCCTGTGGTGGGTTCAGTGCAGGTCAGAGTCAGGAGCCATGTGCCACCTCCAAAGAGCAGGAGACAGGGTGGCAGGGCAGGAGCCAGAGAGCTGGGGGCCTCGGGGAGAGGCCCATGGCTGCAGTGATATGACTGGTCATCACTGTGCATCTATGTCATCTATGTCACAGTCTTTCCAGGACCTGGTGGCCTGAGAGGGGAGAAGCATCCAGCAGCCCAGTCAGGTTTCTGATTTTGGTCTTTTGGGTGGGCGACTGAATCCCCCCAAAGAACCTTGGTTGCCACAGAAACCTCCAATGCAAGGAGAGGAGGGAAGGAAAGAAGCCCAGGACAGAGCGTCACCTGGCCTCCCACCGTGCGGCACCACAGGACGACCCTGGCAGAAGGCAGTGTCCCCCGGTTCTCCAGATTGAATTCCACATGTATGAGTGGGTTGGGACAAGGACAATGCACGACCACCAAGCTCGGATGACAAGTAAGATACATAAAAGGCTCAAGGTGACCGGCGCACTGGGGCAGAGCCAGGGTTCAAGTGGAGGCCTGCCGGGCACCAGGGCAAGGCCCTCCCACACTCTGCCTCACCGCAGGACACCCGGGCCCTGCGTGGGCAGCACCTGCCTCCATGCTGGACTCCCTCGGGCCCACGCGGAGGTTCACACGACCACACAGGCACCGCGTGCTCAGCGGGGGCACAGAGAGAGCCATGCGCAAGCACACGGTGCTGGCCACACGGACCCAGTCATCTTACCCACCGTCCCCTCCACGCCTTCAGGAAACCCTCCTGTGCAGCAGCCCTTGGCCCTCCTGCCACCCCTGCAGGCCAGCCTGCTGCTCATGGAGTGGAGGGAAGGGCAGGCTCTGGGGCAGCCCTCTCCCCACTGCCAGGGCCTGAGCTGGGGTGAAAGCAGACGGGGAGAGTCTGCCGGAGCCCCTCTGTCTTGCCACAGGCTATGCACCCCATCTCCGCTGTGGGACTCTCATGTGACCCACCAGCAGGACACATGCCTCTGAGCCTGCTCCTTGTGGGCATGTGGACCTCACCGGGCCAATTCCCTCGCCAGGGCCCTCGGTTGAGTCTCTTCTCTCCCTGTGCAGTCTCCACGGCTGGCCTATGAGACGGAGATGCTTCCCTCCCCTTGGCATGACAGACTTTCTGGGAGGACCCTCCACCAGGCCCAGGATTCGTGCTTGCTGACCCCTCCAGTCTTCACGAGCACCAGTGAGCATGCAGGGTGCCAGGTGGGAGGCTCAGCCAAGCACTCGCCTAGCATGTGTGAGGCCCTGGGCTCAATCCTCAGCACAACATAAGAATAAATAAGGAAAATAAGGATATTGTGTCCAACTACAGCTAAAAAATAAATATTAAAAAGAAAAAGAAGGGAGAGACACACCACCTCTTTGTCCTCTGTGTTGGCTTTAGTTATCAGTCTGGGCACCAGGGAAGCCCCTTGCAGCTTGGTGTCATGCTACAGCCGTAGGTGGAGAATCCGAGACCTACAGTAACGCATGTCACCCAGCAGTGGCAGCAGCAGCTGGAATGTTCCTCTAGGAGCTGGTCCTATAACCCTGGGCTGCGCCCTGCTAATGCCAAGGTGCTACCAGGAATGCAGGGTGCAGTCAAGAGCCACCCTGTCTCTGTCTTTTCTGTAGCAGATGTGATCTGCTGAGTACCCCAGGTTCAGTCAGCAACACGCCCCCCTCACCACACACACATACATACACACATATGCGTGTGTGGACACACACGCACACACGCGCACGTGCACACTAGCTTTCCAGGCCTCAGCATAACTTCTGAGGCCCGCGGCTGCTGCTCTGCCCTCTGGGACCCACACGGGGGCTACGGTGCCAGCCAAGAGAAAGTCCCTTGTTTTCTGTTCACCAGTGATGCCTGCCTTGGGCTCAAATGCAAAAGCATTTTCTGCCAAAGTGCACAGGCAAGAAGAAAAATAGCAGCTGCAGAGACCTCAGAAACAAAGCAGAACAAAGCCCAAACCCGGAGTGGCGAGAGGAACGCTGCAGCCAAGCCTCACTCGACTTGCATTAGCTACGGCGGCCTCGCTGCCAACTCCTCCCAGCCAAGCTCTCAGGAAAGGAAGGGCAAAGGAATCCTAAAGTCCCCGAGTCAGGGAGCCCCGGAGAGGGCAGCCAGTGCCTCCAGCACCCATGCCCGTGGCTGCTCCCCTTCGCCTCTGTGGGTGCAGCAGGCCCTGGCCGCTGTGTGGGGTCTGCAGGAAGCCACTTCTGGGCTGCTCTGTGCAGTGACAAGCTGGCACACCTCTCAGCTCAGATCCCTGGCCCTGGAAGGGGCAGAGAGTGGACACAGGAGACACAGACTGCAGGCAGCCGGGAGGTGTGACAGGTCTCTGTCCTGCCCGTGTGCTCAGCTGGAGGACAGGAGGCTGCCCTGGCAGACCACCAGGGATTACGCTGCTAGCTGGCAAGGGTGCTGCTCCCTCTGTGGGTCCCTGGCTGTAGCTCCCCACCCGTGGACTCAGAGGCCACAGCCTCTCTGCTCCAGGCCCAACAGGAAGGCAGCAGGGGACACACTAGGTGCCGACTGTCCTTAGGGCTCTCTGCAGCGAGGCTGAAAGAACACAGGCTGCTTCCTTCCTAGGCAGCCCCAGCAGTCCCTGAAAGGCCAGGGCTGGAGTCTGCAGAGGCCCTAGTCCCCTTGCTCTCCCGCAGGGGACCAGTGTCCTGGCCAGCTCGGCCCCTGCCAAGGGAGCTGGGTACAGAGTGTCTGGGCAAGGGCTGGCCTGAGCTCCAGGGCTCTGGGCCTTACTGCTCCCCAAGGGGTCCCAGGGCTGGGCCAGCGCTGCCCCCCTTCCAGGGGACTCAGATGGTGTCATTTAAATGAACCAAGAAGCTAATCTACAACATCTTGCTCACAGGATCTTGCTCCGTCTCAGAGCTGCTCAGGACAAAACCATCTTTCTAAAATGCACAGTTCCCAAATTCATACCACCATGGACCGGGGTTGAAAACTGGGGTTCAGGCACACCTGGCCCGACCTTCTCCTGACCCTAGAGTGTCCATAACCCTGTGGGAATTGCAATCAGGTGGCCATGATGTGTGGTGGCTGCCATGGTGCTGTGAAATGAGAATCGGACGGGTGTATGGCCACGGCCCAGGACAGTCAGCACTGTCACAGAGGCACCTAGGGATGCCACCCCTCCAAAGTCTATCCACCCACAGTGTCCTGGGAATCGCGTCCAGCATGGTTCCTCCCACTTCATCCCAGCACGGGAGCCACCTGTGGACAGGCTCTGTGGCATCAGGAAGCTGGCCGGTGTGCTATTGCGACTCCCACCCCTCGGATCCCACATTAAGGGAGGCCATCCCAGGGCTGAAGACACAGAGGCTGGCAATGGCAAGACGGCTGTCCAGCGTCACCCAGCTGAAGAGCAGTGAGGCCAGAGCCGCCCGAGTCTCCGCTCTGACAGGTTACCCCCTGGCAGAGCTGCGGCCCCTGCCTCCTGGGCCCCCGCAGAGCCAGGCCTGCTCCCTTCTGGCTATGTCCCCCACAAACCAAAGCCTCCAGGGACCTTTGCGAAGGTGGCAGGGAAGAGGCCATGGGCGGGGCTGGCTGGGCGTTTCCACCTCCTTCCTAACCTCGCTGCCGTCCTCTGCCCTGGCCCTGGCACCCTTCCCCGGGAGTTTGGCCCTGGGAAAGTAAACACACGTTTGTCACCCTGACAGCACAAGAATGAGAGGAAGCCAGGGCTGGGGGAGGGACGGGAGGGCACTTGGTGCCACTGAAATGAACCAACAAGCAGAGGCCGTGCCCCACCCAGCGCACAGCCTCCACGGCCCTGGTCCAGCCTCCCTCGAAGGCCTCCCAGGCTGAGGCAGGGACCCCGGCAGTCTGAGGTGTCTCCCTGCAGCAGTCTGTCAAAACGTGATGCTCAGGTTGCTGCCGGGGAACCAAGTGACAGTGTGAGAAGTGCCTCTGCTGATCTGGACCCGACCTGGCCTCACAGCTGGGAAAAAGGTGGAGGGGCCGGGGCTGGCCATCCCGACTCAGGATATCCTGACTGTCAAGGCCACTGGGTGGGCGATGGGGATGGAGGTCCTGGGCTACTGGCTAGTGGCCGTGCTCACTGCTGGTCAGCCTCTCTGTTCAGCAACGCTGGCTCTGCACTGTCCCTGCCTCCCTGAGTCCCAGGCCAGGAAGCAGCACAGGTGCATGACCTGCCAGTTCCCTGCGGCAGGATGCAGAGCGACTCTGGTCTTGCCTGGGTTCAGAGTGTCAGCTGGGAGGAGTGTGGAGAACAGGCCACCACCTGGGCCTCCCAGCCCAGCCCAGCCAGGACTGGCGATCAGGCCCGTAGCCAGTCCCCGCTGCAGCTGGAGGCTGCTGGAAGCAGAGGCCCCCGAGCCCACCACTTGCTTCTGCAGCTGTGCGGTGAGGGCCAGGAGCCCGCCCGGCTGGAAGGAGTGTCGGCTGCAGATGCGTCACCTGGGCTGTGCCAGGCCTGGAGGAAGAGCCCACACGCACCTGTTTACCAGGTTATTGCGGCGGACCATTCTCAGGAAGCCGGTGGGGTCGGTGACCGAGTTGAGCTTGTTGTTCATCTCCTCGAACTGCTGGTCCATGAGGTCTCCAGCCTCGCTCTCCGTCTCGCTGCTGGCACAGGCCCTGCAGGGGACGGCAGAAAAGGGTGGTCAGAGAAAGGTCGGCTCTGAGGCTGGCGGGGGGCAATGCCTGTCATTCTGGCCATGCAGGAGGCTGAGGCAGCCTCAGCCACTTAGCAAGACTCTGTCTCAAAATAAAAATAATAAGAGGGCTGGGGATGGAGCTTAGTGGCAGAGCACCCTGGGTTCAATCCCCAGTGCCACACACACACACACACACACACACACACAAACACACACAGAGTCAGCTCTGAGGTCCCATGCCACCTGCCACCCACGAACCCCAGCATGGATGCCCCCTGGTGCTGGGATCTCACCAAGCCCCCTTGGTGGCCCAGAGGCTGTCACCACACATTGCTTCTCATACTGAACTCTGGGTGGTTGTTCAGGGCCCGCTGTCCCAGCTCAGCTGTGGCCTCTCCATAGACCACAGCTCCGTGCGGACAAGCATGGCCGTCCCAGGGGCTGGCACATACACCACACCCAGCTGCCCCGCTCTCTGCAGGCCCAGCCAGGCACTCTCCCCACGCAGGGGCTAAGGCCAGTGTGGCTACAGGACAGTCCTCCCAGACAAGGTCCAGTCCAATTCCCTCCAGAAACAGAAAGATAGTTCCTCCACCATGCCGGCTAGGCAGCCCAGAAAGGCAATTTCCAGATGGACCAACACACTCAGGCGTGGCCGCCACACCAGGCCGTGTGGGCACGGACTGGCATGAAAACCTGAGGAAGGCTGCTCCGTGGCCTTTTTCCAAGCTCACTGTGAGGATGTGACCATTTTAGAGCTGATTCATATGCCCCTGTGACAGACTCTGCCAGAACACCTTGCACTGTGTCTTAAATAAAGGGACACACTCCATGGTGCCTTGATTTACCATCAGGATTATGGTGACAAAAGCTTATTAAGTGTAAATGCCATGCACTTTGCCCTAAGGTGACAATGACGGGCACAAGAGGGGCACTCCTGTCCCAGGGAAGCTGCCCACCTGCGTGCAACCTCTGCTCCTTGCCAGCCTCACCTTGACATCGAGCCCTTCCTTGGCATCGGGATCACACCCAGCTGTTGGAGATGCCTGGGGACACCTCCACCGCAGCTCAGCCCACGGATGACCTTTCCTGCTTGCTAGGAGCAGTGAGGGCAGAGGAGAGGCCAGGGACCCGGGGCAGAGCTCTCAGCCTCTCACATGCGGGGCAGGTGGGAGGGACTCTGGGAAGGGGTGTCTTGTCTCTGGGAGGGAAGAGCCTTGGCACATGGTGATATGGGATTGTGGTGAACATACTGCACTTCAAACGCCAGGCAGGTGACACGTGGGACAGAAAGGCTGACAGCGCCTCACTGGATCATTCTGGAGGCCAAATGAAATACCATCTGCTTGGTAAACTCAACATGGTCCGTGAACCCAGGCTAGAGTAGTGGTTGACTTTATGTCCACTTGACTGGCCACAAGCTGCCCAGGTGTTCCGGGGGTCTGAGAGTGTCAGCATGAGATGGGCCTCCGAATCGCAGAAAGTGCAGCACCCCTCCCACACAGGTGGCCTCCTCCGACCCGTGAAGGCCTGAGTAGAACAGAAAGGCAGGGAGGAGGGCAATCTGTCTGTCCTGTCTTGAGTTCAGACTGCAACTAGGACCAGAGCTATGGAGTCGGCTTTCCTGGGCCTCCAGGTGGCCGGCGGCTGAGCCCAGGCCTCAGACTTCATGATCATGTGAGCTGACTTTGTTTGCAGCAAACCTCTTGCCCTTGGTATAAGTGAATAGTGTACGTGTAAAGCCATGTCCTATCTGTATGTATTCAGCAGGTAAATGAGCATGTTTATACCTTCAAGCAGGCGCCTACGTACGTACGTATCCACGTACACGTACGTGCCCATCTTCTCTGGCTTCTGTCTCTCCCGTGGGCTCAGGTAAAAGGCCCTGGTGAGAACCCCCAGAACCACTTGGAGGCTGGCAGCCCTGGCCACTGGCCTCCTTTGCTTCTCAAACACACTGTCTGGAACTGGCTCTTCCAACAAAGGACAGTACCTGGCACCAGGGTGTGTGGGGGGAGGGGTGGCTAAGTGACGTGGGATGGCGTGTGGGAACCCAGATTTCTCTACCTGGATGGCAAGCCTGAGCAGTCGCTCTTCTTAGTTCTTTCTTGGATCTCAGGAGATTGAGGCTCCAAGGATGGGGGAACGTGACCGGAGCACGAGGGTGGGGCTGGGCCACGAGGGCTAAGGCAGGCCCCCCTCCTACCCCGCCTGCAAGCTCCAGGCTGCTGGGGTTGGAGAGGGAGAGGGAGTTGGAATACAAGGAGGAAGAAGGAAGAGCACAGGAAACTTCTAGCATCTAAATAAATCACCAAGGCTTCCAAAGAAGGAGAGGAGGGAGGGAGGGCTGGTTCCCCTCGGGCCTGGGCAGGCACAGAGGCCAAGGCTTGGACTACTCTCTTGGGAGTGGAGGGCTCTTCCCAGAGACCCTGGTAAATATCACTCAACAAGCTCCTCTGTCCAGGGACACATTTGTCATCTGAATGCGACTGCCTGCTTGGAGCTGAGCGATCTGCTTGTCATTCAGTGCTTTGCAAAGGGGAGAGGAATTGGCTGGGACTAGTATCGGCTCCATTATCTCACAGCTCCACTCCAGCTGTCAGCCGCAGACCGAGCCCTCAGAATCGCAGGCTTAATGGGGTTGTTTCCTATTCTCTGACCCTTTGAAGTATTAACACCGAAGGGGAAAACAAACATGAGATGTCACCGATAAGGGAATCTCCCATTTACAAAAGGAGCCTTGTCTGTATAGCAGGGTCCCAAGCTTACTTGCCACCAGCCACCATCCCTCCTCTGTCCCTCCCTCCCAGCAGGTTCTAGAGATGGCACATCACACCACGCGTGGTCACCACAGGCCCTGGGCCAATGCACTTGCCAACCGTGATGCCGAGTGGGACCTAAACAGAGAGAGTCACATCGCACCTGTCTTCGAGGCACCTACTGTCTAGCAGGACCTAGAATTCTTGGGAGTTCTCTTTCTTTCTTTATTTTTTGAGGTAGGGTCTGTGTTGCCCAGGCTGGCCTTGAACTTGTGGACTCAAGCGATCTTCCCTCTCGGCCTCTGGGGCAGCCGTGCTGCGCCTGGCTAGAGGGCTCCCTCTGACCGCCAGTCTCTGTTACAGTGAGCAGCTCTGTACCTTAAGCCATTCCTCATCAATGGCTGAATGGCTTCCCAGGCCTGTTTTGAGACTGACTGCTGTGCACTGTCAATCTAGTATATAAACTAAATCCTCTTGATTAAGGCAGTAAGTCACACTTTGGTGCCACTCACACAATGATGCAAACATAGCTGAGTGACCCTCAGGCGCTCACTGGGCGACCACTGGGTGCCATCCTTTGGCTGGGACTGGGATGACTTCATGCACAGACGGCCCCTGGGCTTCGGAAGCTCAGGAAGGGTGCTGGACAGATGGGCTGACCTCTGTGACCCAGAATGAGAGACCACACTGACAACAGTGAGCACTCACATGGGATGCGTGGACAAGCGCTGGGGCCTGGAGAGCGCATGTGAGATGACACAGGCGCCAACCAACAGCGAGAGTCTCTGTCACCCTTCTGGTGGCAGTGATGTGCAACACAAGTGTGGTCCCAGCTCCTCAGGGAGAGACTGGAGGGTCTCAAGGGAGAGAGGCACATAAAAAAGGGGCAAAGGGGGAAGAAGGCAAAAGAAAACCCCGAACCCTGTCCCCCAGCATGGACAAGTTGGCCAGGACCCTGCCTCTCTCTGCTCCCCATGGCTGACCTGCTGGCTATCCACCTGGCCCTGCCCCACATCCTCTCCTGCACTTATCAGCCACACTGTGTCCCTCTCCCTTGTGGCTCTGTAGGTCAAGGGTCCAGCTTGAACTTTGGTCCTTTCTACCCTGGACCCTCGAGCAGTGTGGAGGACTCTGCTCTTGCTCCAGTCCCCAGCCTGGGGCTGGGCGCCAGACCGTCTTGGGTCATGGAGAATAATTGAGGACAAAGGTCAGCACCAGCAGAAGCTGGCCTAAGGGAGGGTGGTGAGGGACACGTCCTGGAGAGGGTCGAGAGGGCAGCTGGTGAGGGGTCGGGCCAGCGGCAGGCAGTAGCCTGCCAGCATCCGTCCCTGGGACCCCATGAGAGGCCTGGCCCGCCTGCTCTGGGGAATGTAAATCACACCGTCACCAGAGGCCGGATCCAAATGCTGCTCCCATGCGGCTCTCCCCAGAGATGGACATGGCTATGAATCAAGCCCCGCGGAGCCGAGCCAAAGCTCATCCTGTTCTTGGGGACAGGGCTTGGCAAGAGGCTCCAGAGAGGATTTCCATTTGCAAGCGTGGCCTCCTGATCTCTCCAACTGCAGCCTCTCAGTCATCCCTCTGACAGCCGCGACTGGGGCTCCAGAGGCAGCTCTGATTTACGCCTCAACGTCCTGCTGCCTGATTCTTCCTCCAGGCCCCGCCCTCGTCTCCAGGCCTCTCTGGCCTGGGATCTAGGCACCTGCCGAAGATCAGCAGCTGCCCACAGAGGCTGGAAGGTGGTGAGGAGTTTCCTGTGCACAGGGGGGAGCCACACCACCAGCCCTGCCAGATGGAGGCCACCAAAGGCGGCAAATGCCCCTTCTCAGAGCAAAGATCTCCCAGCAGGGGGCACTCAGCAGCCAGTCAGTCCCTGTGTCACCACTGAGATGTCTGGAGCCCACTCTGGGAGGTCGGGTCAGACTGCAGGGGGCCCTGGCTCCTGGGGTTCCCCAGCCTGGAAGCAGAGAAGGCCTCAGAGGTGAGAAAAGGGGCACCTCCTGGATTGCAGGTCTGCTGCAAGAAGCCACCTAACAAGAGGCCGGAAACCAGCATGAGACTTGGGGACCCAGGACGGGGCCTCTGAAACTCTCCCTTACTCGTCTGTGTTTCCATGGTGGTTCAGTGAACCCTACAATAGAAGGAGCCTGAGGCTTACTTTTGGGGGAGCGAGGAAAGGAGGGGAAGCGTCCCACCCAAGGCCCATCTCCCCAGGAGGAGA